TGAGGTACACCCTCTATCCTAAAAACAAGTGGCTGACATGTGGCTTGAATATCGCCAATTGCCATTTCAAAAGATGAAGCTTAAGAAAAAATATTTTGAATTGAAATATTCTGTCTGCAGTTAATAAAGTACATAATGCCTTCAAATCACATTAGAGAAAATGCACAGGAGAGCTACAACCTTGATGCAGAGCTGTGAATTAGCAATGCAACTGCTGGTGTAGTTGGTTCTGTCTTGGTGGTTTCATTGGTTTCAATGTGTTGTGGTGAATGTAAAGGAGAAATACAAAATGGCTGAGAAAAACAGTATAGCAAATCCTTCCTTTTGTTCCCAACAGATTGGGTTATTCACTGGAAATAAATTAACAAATGAATTCAACCCCTCTTTGCACTGATGGATGAGTCCCTGAAACCTTTCATTACTGGTATGCATTTTATGCAAACTCTTTTGGAGACTGAAGAGTGTTAAAAAAACTTCTTAGCTTAATTTCTCTGAAGTTCCTGTGTGACACTGATGGTTTAAATCCTGTTTCTTTCTTGGGTAACTGGATGGTGAGTAACCAGGAAAGAACACCTCATTTCTGGAATTTTATGAGGAAGACTGTCTTCGTGGTAAACTTCATTGGAAATCATCATTTGGAAACCCTGCCAGGGAATAACTGAAGCAATAAATAATGAATTCACTATCTACTTGTGAATTTTATTTGTTTGATTGTTTATTTATTTATTTACTTGCTTATTTTTGCTTGCCAAATGCACTAGTAGCCAGGTCGTGACAACCCACTGGTTTTACTGCTTTACCACTGATTTTACTGCAAGGATCACTGCACTCTGAGAATGATGGATTTTAAATGTCAGTAACTGTCAGTCCTGCACAGTCAAGTTTTTTCCCCCGTTGCAAGGGAAAATTCTGTAGAAAGTTTGATTTTTCCTTGTTTCCTTGTTGCTGCCTAAGTCAGTAAGACGAGGAGCACTGTGCAAATATACATCATAAAACTGCGTGCTGGTTCTCAGAGACCAACAGCCAGACTTCTGGAGCTGCAGAATACTCCCCCATGACTTTATCTAAAATCTCTTTAGGTGACTTTATGAGCATTTAGAGACCATTACTGCAGCAATTTTGTAATATCGCCAGCTGTTGCATGGGAAAAGTTGTCTTGGAAGAGGAAAAGAGAAATGTCCAGCTGTCCACTTGTAAGTGCTGAGAGCACCCATTTCTTCTCCAAACTGTGGGCTGCCTTTGCTTGTGCCTTTCCATCTGTGTGTATTGCACACAGAGCTTCAGTGCTCCAGAAGCCAGTTTGACTCACAGATTTAGCAGGAAATGATCTGGCTGGGGAAGGATGGATCATTTTTTGCCCCCCCTGCATGAAAACAAGGTCAGACAAATGTTAGAGCAGAGTACAGCCAAGCATGGCACCACTGCAGCTGCCTGCAGGGACACAGCTAGCTCATGGCTCTGCTCCCCATGGGCAGAGTCAGGTACAGGAGCTCCTTCTTTCTCCTCCCTGGACCACAGGCTGGGATCACCTTTTTGGACTTACCATCAGGTGTGCTGCACAGCTGGTCCTGCTCCAAACAAAGCCTTCAGTGCAGAAACCGTACCACGAAGGATCATGGAAACTCAGCCCCAGCCCCGGTGGTTAAATGCTCTCAATAACTGAAACACTTTGAGGAGCAGATATTTTCATCCCGTTCTAATTTGCAGTTGGGACCTAGGGCAATTTTTGTTCCTAAAACTTTGGAGTCACTTCAACATTTTCAGCCACAGAACAACTGCTCATGTTCTTGCTCCAGTCATTTGAAGTCTCCCTGTGAAACAGCTGGCCTCTGATGTGCGAGATACCTGCTTCCCACTATTTGGCTTCCAACAGCAAGAAGATGACTTACGGCCATGAACTATCCCTTAATTTAACACATCAAAACCGAGCGAAAATAAACAAAGCAGAGTGAAGAACACATGTAGATCATGAACTCACATTCTGCACCTTGCACTTTTGCCCAGAGCACATGTTTTTGCAGCTTATCTCCCTAGGTATCTGTGATGGTGCCTTCTCATGTGTTTGTTTTCTTTGTGTGGGGATACTTGGCAAGAAACTGCTTCTATGGGAGAAAAAGCAGTTTCTGCTTCTCTGTGGCCATGGACCAAACAAAGACCATAACTGGACACTTAACCACAGGCTTGCTGCAAAACCTGTCTGGGTAAGTGAAATAGCTTGCACTGATCTCAGTGGGTTTTGAAGAAGGTTCTGTCCAGGTTGTTTTGTCCTTTTTTTCTTTTCCTTTTTTTTTTTCTATGTTTCCCACCTTCATTTAATTCACAATTGGCTTTCGTGTTTTTCTTAATCTCAGAAAGTCCTTCTGCAGCCCCAAAATGTAATTTTATTTCACAGCAGCAACAGAAAACAGACTTGGTGAGGCTCAGCTTCAAGTGAAATACAACGGCCTATAACATCTCCTGGAAACTTTTTGACTCATATCTAAATTCACTTAAACTCTTCTTGAAACCTGAATAAATGGCATTTGAAACAAAAAAATAAGGAAATCAGTGCCAATTATTGCTGCTGGCCAGAGAACAGACTCCTTCCCCGGCTGATGCTGGATTTGTGCTATGGCTGGCAGACATCTGAGTGGCCACGTCCTCACCAGGCTCAAGCATCCAAGTCTTCAGCTGGGTTTGCAGAGCTCCAACACCCACTCAGAAACTCATCTGTTGTCAGCAGAGATCTGCCCACATGGGTCTTATCTACATAAAAACGTGCATACAGCTGAGAAGGTGTTAAAGGCAGCGCATTCCTGCTGCTGATAATGAATGAAAATAAGCCTTTTGTGCATGGCTGCGCTGCCTGGAGATGAATGCAGAAAGAAAGGGTCAAAACCAAAGCTGATGGCTGGTCAGAGATTCAGTTTGGCGAGGGTTAAGATCAAGTCTCACGGAGTCAGGAAGGAGAAAGGCCCCAAGTGTCCTCGAAATTTCCATATGACATTTAGGTATCAATAACATCATTGTTCAGGAGCAAGAGCTCATTTTCTAAGAAAGGCTGCTCGCTCCTCGCAGGCCAGGCTGCGCTCCCTGCAGCTGAGGATGCCAGGCTGCTGTTTGGCAAGAAGCTTGTTAGTTCATTTAAGAAATGCTCAAATTAAATGTGGTATAAATCAACACCATTTCACTCACATTAGGACACACCAGTGTAATCCTGCTGAGGACAGTAACCTGAAAATATTTAATGATGTCAACTTTTCAAAGGAAAAATTTCCATGTGTGGAATTTTGAAAGGTTTTTGGTGTTTTTGCAGTTTATTTTTCTTTTGAAAAATCCATTTGCCTTTTTTTTCTTTTTTTTTTCTTTTTTTTTTTTTTTCCAAAAAAAAAGGATTATCTGTTAATCTTACCCTGTTACAAAATATATTCATAATCCTCATGGCAGTTACTTAGCAAGTCTTAAACCTGTCATTAAAATACCTCCTCTTGTTACTACAATCAGCAGCCTTAATCCACTCCGAGCCTCTATTTTTTTTTCTTTTCCCACTTTGTTCCCAAATGGCTTAAACCAAGGTATGACAGGTAGCAAACAGTCCCCAGTCTAATTACTCGGAAGAAACAAATGAAGGGAAGGAGCATGTTTGTGTGGCAAATTCCTGAGAGTTTGGAAACTAAAGGTGGTAGGAATGTGCCTGGGGAAAATTTTAAACCCACTCCAAAGCTGTGGGTTTGAAAAGTGTTGAATTTAGTCCCTGGGGGGCATCGATGGGGAGCGGTGGTGCCAAAAGAGGGGGCGGCCACGAGCAGTGCCAGCCCCGGGGTGGGGACAATTCACGTGGTCCTCCATGGGAGGATGCTCATGGGCTGGATCCAGCACAACAAGCACTGAGATTTACCTGAAAACTGTTTGGCAGCCTGGTGAAGCTTGGCAGCACCCTAATGGCTCCAAGCACCAGATTCCCTGTGAAATCCCAGCCCAGGAAGCTGTGGGTACATGCTGATGAGTAGGAGGATGAGCAGTGGGAAGCAGAGAAGACCACATTGCTGGAGAAGGGTGTGTGAGTATTGGGAATAAAAGGCTGGTACCAGGATGCTGATTCATCAGAGAAAAAAAAAAAAAAAGAGAAAAAAAAAAAAAAAAAGTTGAATTAAAGACAAGCAGAAGAAATGCAGCATCTTGGCACAATGGTTTGCCAGGAGGGGGAGGAACAAGGCATCATTTGGTCAGTGTTCGATGGGACGTGGCACCAAACACAGGTTAAACACATCAGGCAGATCCCACTTGCTGGAAGCTCAATGCTTTTCAGGACCTGGCCCCTTCCCAAAAGAGCATCTCCAGAGAGGGGTATCCATAACCAGTCGCTGCATGTGCCCTCTGTGAAGGTTTGGAGGGGCAAACAAGAGCTCACTTTCATGCTCCCTGAAGACCTCGGGCTGTCCTGGGAGCTGCTGGGTAAACACGGTGCTGATGTGAAATCAGATATCGTCTGTACAAAACCCTTCAGAAGATAATTAGGCTGAACTGGGATTTTTAAAAGGCATTAAGTCCATGAACTTTTCGATCTTAAACAATGCCACCATGACCACGTTGGGAATAAGGCACTGTGGCCCTTCTTGGAGATCATGTGTTAAAGTTGTCTTGTTAGCAGGGAGACACTAATGTAATAAAAGAAAGCTTTGTGGCCTGGAACAGCTGGGCTTTTCTAACTGCTTGCCTAAATGTGGGTGATTAATGACCAAAATGCATCCTTGCTGAATGGCATTGAGAGCCTGGTCTGGAGGTATTTCATGGCATTTTCCTTTTCCCATTTTTGTAAGAGATTTATTGGAAACAAAGATCCATTGATGTAAAGTCGTTACAGATATGCAAAGTGAATACTGTATTACTGCCTATCTGATGGGTGACAGTAATCTTACATTGCTATTGCATATTTTTTGCTTTAGGACCTAAAGATGTTCAAAAAAAAAAAAAAAAAAAAAAAAAAAAAAACACAAAAAAACACTTGGTGCTATTGAGACTGGAGAAACTCAAAAATTTTAATAAGATTTGTTGTCATTGTTGCTGGAAAATGCTGCTTCATCCAAACCAAAATGTCTCACAGTGAAATAGTCCCACTAATAATATTTCCATGGGAAAGTTTTCAGAGTTTCTGGGGTCAATTTATAAGTGGAGAAGGATCTAAATGAGAACCCTGATCTTCTCACTCTGAAAACAGATGTTTCAATGGCAACAATAACATCATCAACAACAACAACAAAAAACATTTTGGGGTTTGAAAAGTTTGGTTCTTGTTCCACACCAGAATGAAAACACATTTCCAGACCTCAGAAACCTTCTTGGAAGTGCACTGCTGATTTCTCAATACCTCTGCCAGAAACTTCCTGGCCTGTTGGAAAAAGCCCTGATTTGTGGTCTCTTGGCTGTTCTGGCCACCTGCCCCACTCTTGGACTTTGATAAGGATGCCACCCATCCTTCATCCTTTGCTGCTCTTTGCATGCCTCCCGTGCTTTCCCAGAAGCCTCCAGAAAAGCAGAATAGCTGCCTGAAGTCTCACGTTGCTTTTCTTCACCCGTGGAAATGTTCAAAGTTGTTCACAAATAATAATAATAAAGTCTCCTTTGGGCCACAGAGCAGCCATCTGGGAGAGGTGTAATGTTCTGGTAGCATGGGAAGCGAGACTCCATCACCGTAAAAAACACAGAGTAGGTTTATAATGTGGTTATCAGGAGTGCATGGGAAAGCTGAAGTCAAAGGCTAGAAGATTGCAAGAGATGCTAGACGATTTTCTTTGCAAAACAGGTATTGCTCTGACCAGGGAAGGTACACCTTGCATTTCTCCAACTATCTCACTTCCAGGCACTTTTTTTTCCCCTCAGCCAACATGTTGGCTTTTGTCATTCATCAGGCCCTGGGATTGTTTTTCCTAACATCCCCTTAAGAAGGATGTATTTTTCAAAATACTGCCATTCCATTCACTGAAACAGGGTTTGATGTGGCTACTTCAAATCAAAACCATGAGCTTTCCTCTCCTCACACCCACCGACTTAAAACCTGCCCCCAACGCCAGTGGTTCAGAACTATCCAAATAAAGTAGTTGCTTTAAGGACTGTTTGCTTTTCCTCTCAGACTCCTTCTCCTGACGTTATATTGTTTGTGGAAAAAGAGTTCTCTGGGTGGGTCACTTAGCTGTCGTGGTTAAGAAGCTGTATTTGAAGTCTGGTTCTGTGCAGAAGGAAAACATGTCAAAACGGCCTTGGAAATACAGTTCACTTCTTTTCCCTCCGTGTCAGGATGTTACCTTTTTCCCTCCATGAAACAGCTCTTTCCCATGAAAAATAGCATCGTGAGGACGTTTGCTGGGAGGCTCCAGAATGAAGTGAACATAACCCTCTTTTCATAGTGGGAAAACAAATTACTTCTTGAATAAAGCCGCCTCAAACTCTGCTTGAGCACCTACTTCTGAATATCTTTATACCAAGGAAACATGCTTAATTATTCTTGAGTAATTTTGCTTGCTGGACTGCAATCCCTCAAATTAATGCTATGTGGGACTTTGTTGATGATGTCGTTTTTTCATTTGAAATGATGCCAGAGAGCAGGTTTCCCGCTTCCATCTTCCCCCCCTCCACCTTTGACTTTAAAGCAGATTCTCTGTTTCTTACATAAACACTCCTCCAAGATACTTTTACAGAGTGGCATGTGCACCACGAGCCAGAAATGGCATTAATGCGTTTTTCTTCTGCAGCTTTGGCATTACGTGCATCTAATGTGAATGTGTGTTGCCTCGGAGAATGCTCTGTTTTATATTCCTGCATCTGATTTTGTGCAGCTGGGAAGCCACAATTCGCAGGTGGTTGGTAAGCTTATTAGATTATTCATAACTGGTTTTATTTCTCTTATTTCCTTTTTTTTTTTTTTTTTTAATAATTAAAAACATGTGTCAGAGGAGGCCCATGATGATTAGAAGCACTGCTGACATCTATTTCCCGCTTACCTTTTGCTGTTTTCACTCGCGTTATACAGAGCCTGGTGCTGGTACTCATACAAGTGTGCCACTTATTCACGTGGACACGGCTCTGAGCCCACACCAGCCAAGTTAGCAAGAAATACGTGCTATTCCTGTTGGAAATTATTTTTTTTAAACAGGAAGCAAACCATATTTATTGGTAGTTTATCAGGTATTTACTTGGTGAGAAACTTCTGCTGGCAAAGAGCAGCAATCACAGTAATAATTACGATAATGATGATGAATGTTTGGAGTCATTTTTTCTGTTGACCCAAAGCAGCGACAAATTCCGGGCATGGAGCAATTCATCCGAGGAAGAGTTCCTGATCTGTAGTACTCTCGAAACAGGCACATACAAGAAGAAGGGTAAAAATACTGAAGGAGTCGCTGATGGGGTGAAGTTTTGCCAGCAGAAGAGGTCAGCTCCAGACCTCGGTAACATGAATTCCTGGCTGAAATTCAGACCAGACTACCGGGGTGAAACACACAGCCCTGCAAGCCTCCACCAGGATGGTCCCAGCCATGTGTGATCCAGATAGCAGCTCTGCATCTCCTCCAGAGGAGGACTCCGGTAGCTCGCATGTGGCCTGTTCAACTTCTGCTTCCCAGAGGAGTCGAGGCTGAGTTTTCAGAGGTGTTGAGCTTTGACTGGCTCAAAGTCAGGCTGTGTGTTAGCCTTTTAGATAGTTAGACCCTCAAACGCTGAGCTGAATTTTATAGAGTAACTTCTAGGAATGGAAAGTGCTTCGCTGATGTATGTCATGAATGGGTTTTTTAAGTTGTTTTGTTTATAGAAAATAGAATGTGTATGTCCTGAAAACTGGATTTTTAAAGGATTCGTGCATGCAGTGGAAGGAGGAGGGGTGCTGAGATTAATATCAGGAACAGCAGTGGTGACAGGTGCCACCCACAGTGCTGTGGATATGCTGCTTTGGCAGAGGCACAGGCACTCGGTGGTCTTCAAATCTCCTGAACCCCTGTCTTCAGGACAGGCTTCAGGAACGAATCCACAAACCCTTGTGCAGGGGATGATCCAGGACACGTATCGGCCGTGGCGATGGGACCTCTTTGCCTTCCTGGTGCACAGAAGCAGCCACTTGCTTGCATAACCCTGCAGGGCTGAGCAGAGCCTCTCTCCAGCTGGTCACCCTGCCCCAAGCATCACCCAGCCCCAGAGCAGTGCACATGCTGCTCCAGCAGGAAGATTTGGCTTCCTCTTCCTCGCTGTGGCTAAGTGACAACTGCCTTTCCCTGCTGGATCCCAGTGTCTCCACAGCAGGCCAGCAACCCCCTCCTTTTCCCCAACTCTTCTGCTGCTAAATAAGTCAGATGATGAAAAGCTTTGTTTTGAAATGTTCCTGGCTTATTTGTGCCCTTCACACGCTGCAGTTTTCTGCATTGTCTCCTTCTCCGCCTTCAGGTCATTTCTTATACACAGGAAACGAGAACAGGATGGCGAAGCTTGCATGAAATATCTCTTCTTGCCTGGGAGAAAACACAGCCTGCTGACTCAGGCTACGCACACAAACAGTCCAAACACTGCAAAATGTATAACCCCACGGCTCCTCCAGCTGCACGTGTTCCCACGTGGACCGTCTGCCACGCCGCGTTTGCACAATCAGCCACGTCACACATCAGCCACCTTGAAGATCTTCAAAAAAGTCAGGGGAAAAAAGACTTGGGGAAAACACTTGGGAAGGCAGAGGGTGGCTAAGGTTGAGTACACACTTACACCTAGCCTCGCCCTAGCAGAAGTTGGAGTTGCAAAATGTGCTGCCTGCGTGGCAAATGTCCCTTTCGTCACGTCTGGTGGGCCTGCGGAGACTGCCACGAGCTGTGCTCCTCGGTGACCTTTCCCTCACAGCCGGATATGAACTTCTTCGCTTCATCCTGACATCTGTGAGCAATCTGAGGCGGCTCCGTGCCACACGGCTTGGTTTTGAAACGTTTCGGTGAGGAAAGCTCGCATGGGATGAGCCGAGCGATGTTTTCCAGTTTGCCACAGGTCTCACCTCTGGTTCCAATCACTTCATGGAAACCAAAAGCATGTCTATTGTGTCGGGAAAGGCAGATGGATGATCAGAGGGGAAGCCAGATTTACTCGGCTATTCCCCCTCTACCCCCTGCCCCCCTCCCAGGGCTCTTCAAACTTGTCCAAATTCCTACTTCTCAAGTGAGAAGCTGCTGGGAGGGCTTCATTAAGTAGCCATAGAAACACCTAAGGAAAAGGAGCAGCCTAACAGCTGACTTACATGGAAGTGAGGCAACAAATCTGGCTTTCATCAGGGCAATCTGGAGTCATTCTGGAATTTTATTTTGCAAACACCAGTCTCCTTGCCCTAGAGTTACCTGCATTTCCAGCTGAAGGTCCAATCCTCCTTTTCCACTCGTGGGCTTGGCATTTGGAGACATTTCCTGGAGCCTGAGGAGAGGAGGACAGCAAACACAGGGCTGTCTGAGATGGCCCACATAGCCCACAGAGGCCGCTGACGGTGTCACTCGTAAGAACAAGCTTTGTTGGCTTAATCAAGGCCAGATTTCCTGGCAGGGCTGGGATCCTGCAGACAGCACATCCAGCCTGCCCGGATGCATCCCATCCGGTGTACACTGTCCCCATGCATACCCTGCCTGCCTCTACCACCAGTAATGATGCTCCCACTGATACCGGGAATAAAACTCTGATGAACCTCAGTGAGATCAGACTTCCTTCTGCTCGGAGTGATTTTGAAAATCCCACCGTGGTTGTCTCACCTCCTTGGTCCAGGGGCTCCCCCGACAATGCTATCACCTGCTTTGCCTGCACAGGAGGTGGAGGTGGTTTGCAGCCCTCCCAGCTGCACCACGACGACTTTTCCTGGAGCACAAAGCTGCCCCAAGGTTTTGCTGCAGCCTTGAGCTACTGGAAGCTGTTGGGCAGCCCGCATGCTCCTCTCGTGTTTCAATCCTAGGTTGCTTGTCTTTTGCAACTTGAGCTCAGCTTGAGTGGTAGAAAACACAGGAAAAAAGGAAGAAAAAGCTTTCTCTTCCTTTCTCCACCCCTCTTCCTCATGGGCACTGATGCTCACCCACATTTCCCAAGCACTTTCTTTGCCCTGTTTTCATGGAGTCAAGGAAGCGACTCGCTCCTTGGAATTTACATGCCTTTGAGGTAGTGGCAGAGCAGCTTTGAGAGATGAATCCTGCTCTCTGTTGCTGGCTTTGTGGCTAGCTTGGCAGACCATGGGAGTGCGATTTTGCAGCTCAAACTCTGCAGCCTTTTTGTGTCACTGCCTGAGCTGACACCTCGCCTTTGAAATGGAGAAGGTGGCAAGTGGTTTTTATCCAGTATCTTGAGCCTTAATCCAACTTTTGCAAGGGATTCAGGATTTTTGTGGGCAGCTTCTTTTTTTTTAATCCTTCCCCTGACCCACTTTGCTGCTGTGCTTGGATAAATAATTTCTGCAGGGTAGGAAGTGCAGCCAAAGTAAGTAGCTTAATGTCTTTTCTCAGTAAAAAATCATAAAAATTATCAGTCTCAGACTCACTTCAGCAGTAAATTAAAACTATCACAAACAAAAACTGCATAAAAACCCTGGCTCCAAAGTGGTTAGTACCTTCCTGCGTTACTTATGCTCGTGCAATATACAGTTGTGCTTTCAGCTGGAGTACAAAGGCAAAGCTGGTGTTAAATCTGGAAGCAGTTTTCACCCAAACTTCACCCGGTGGCCTCATCAGTATCATACGATCAATTTGACCCATGTTATCCTGGCAGAGCTGAATGCAAAAGGCAGTGATAGAAGATGCCACATCACATTATTTTCTGGGGGAATTCTGGAAGCGAAGGGACATGTTACTGCCTGCTAGCCCAGGCAGCTTGCAGAGCAGAGGCTTCAATATCTCAGTGTTTGCTTTTGAAGCCCAGAGACACCTCACCTCCACTGAGCAGAGTGCGATGAGATTCCTCTCCCAGTGCACAGCATCTCCTGCAGCTAAACAACCCAGCATCTTCTTACCTAAGCCTTTTGCAAAGAGAAAACCAACAGGATCCATCCATCTCTGACATGGCACCAAGTACAGAGGCACTCTGTGATTTCCTTCCCCTTCCAGCCCTCTGTCTTTTTCCATTTGGTCCTTAGGTGGTGTCGTTAGGAGGTTGTTTTTTTTTCCTGTGACTGTTAGAACTGGTCACCAGATACTCTTATCCCCCACGGCCGTTACCTGATCATTTCTGCACACACTGCCGGGACTCCAAAGTTCCTCATCTGTAGATCTTAAGAAGCCTGAAGTTATGTCTTTCTTTGCTGGCTCCAGATAATCAGGTAAAGCTTTGTCCATGCCCCAAGGACTCATAATAAAATAAACAGTGAAATTCAGATAAACTGGAGGAGAAACATAACCTCAAACTCATGTTTGGTTAATGCAAACAACGCTGACATTTTCACTTGTCATTAAATTTCATCTGATTCGCTGTGTTGTCCTACCTTGCCTCTATGACAGTAAAAACCATTATGGTATTTTTTAGTACCTTAAGCCAACCTGGTAAGGAAATTTCATTTCTTCTCATCCACACTTGTGGTTAAAAATCCCTCCTCCATAATGGAAAAGACTGTGAAACACTTACTCATCTGCCCCAATAAAAGCCTTTCTGGGGATGAAAGGGAAAAGGAGTAATGTTTTCCAGCACTCACCAGATCAATTAACTAGAATTTCATATGAAATTTTAATTCATCATATAATTTTAATCCTAGAGACCTGATCCGGGTAGGATGATGCTTGTGGGTCATATATCACGCACGCACCAAATGCTGCTCAGAACAACAACCACACAGAATTTACTAGGGGTTACTTTGCCCTTAGCTATTTCTTGCATCCACTTATTGACATATGGATATATTGATATATCCACACACATATATATTGCAAATCCCCTCGAGCATCATCTGCCCACCACCCTGGTGCTCCCAGAATGCCAGCAGAGAGAAACCACCTGAGGGGCCCTCCATGTCATCTTGAACAGGGTCTTTTGGGTTTATCCTTTGAGTTTGGAACCCCCTCCATGGGGTCCATTGCATTTGGGTCCCTCAAGGGTTAGGATTTTGCAGGTCCTTGGGTGAAGAGAATGCCTGGTGAGCACCAGGCAGGTGCAGAGCACGGTGGGCTCTGGCCTGGGGCCAGCCCTCCTCCTTCCCACGGCTGCGTGCTCACTGCTCCATCAGCACAGATTTATTTCCATGCTCGATTTGTAGGAATAAAAGAGCCAGATAAGAAATATGTTTTTAATACTAATGTCACCAGTGAATGCTGAGGATCTTGATATCAGCCATTAAGTAAAAGCAGGGGTGGAATGAGCATCATTTGTCTGTTGCCAGCTTCTCTCAACTGGCTTTCATTTAGATGAGGGAAAAAAAAATAAAAAAATCATTGCTATCCAGGTAATAGTGAAATATATTTGTTGTCAGCAACAGGTCAAAATGCAGAGATACATTATTCTCAGCAAGCTGACTTCACATTTTCTGAGCTAAATGCTGGATCCTTTTCCTCAATTATTCACATATGTTTTCTGCTTTAATAATAACCCACATGCTGTCTCCTAAAGAAAGCTTGCAATTTACAGGCTTCATGATCTTCACCCAGAACACACACATCTGCTCGGCCATTTCTTGTTCCAGAGGCTGAGCCAGTGAACCACAGAGATGACATTAAGAAAGGTGCCAGTATGAAGTGCATCCTGATAAATATATATATAATTATAAAAAGAGATTGCAAGTGAGAAATGTTGTGATGTCACAACTTCAGCAGAGAGACCTAAATAAGAAACAAAAGCAAGCCTGATGGTCACAGTGTAATAGCTAACCGATGTTTTCCCCCAGCACAAAAACACTCCATCATTCAGCATGTTTGGAGGCGTCTGCCACTGTGTTCCAGCACAACGTACTGCATTCCACTGTGAAATAGCATGTATGTAACCTTACATGACAAACGGTCATGCTTGCTGCTTAGCAAGTGCTCGGAGACTTTGATGTAGAGTTTTGTTTGGTGCGCGGCATGTGACAGCAGCACTGCTTGGGTAAACAAGTATGTGCTCTGGTCTGAACAAACACGTTGCTTCTGCTGCGAGTGCCGGAGCTGCATGGCAGATGTCTGTCTTTCCTTCTTGTTCTCCTTCTTTCTTCCACCCTCTGCTTGAGCCCTTCTGCAAAGCAGATTATTTCTCTGCCCACATAGATCTGGACTGTTTTTCTATCAGCTCGGTTGATGCGTTTTCTTACCCCCTTGAATTCTGCGTGGGTGCAAGAGTTCACCTTCAGAACAGAAAAGGAAAAACCGAAACAGTAAAGGTGAGCTTGCCTGGGGTAATGCCTCGTTCATTGTACACTGCTGCAGAGTCACCACACAATGATCAGAGCCACGGTCAGCTCCTACAGCTGGTCTGTAACAGAGGTGCTGTGGGTCTGTTACCCCATCTTATAAAACATAATGTTCCTAAGGGTGGAGTTTGTCTAGGAGAAAGGGAGTTCAGTCACAGTAGATATGCATAGAAGCAGGAAAGTGGTAAAATCTCCCGCTCGTGTCATCGTTCACCTCCCGTTTTCAGCTCCCTGGCAGCAGGAAGGTGCCAGCTCAGGAGACACCTCTGTGATGGGTGACGTTGTGCTCGCTGGTGTTACAAATCCCCTTGTCAGGCTTTGGATCCAGAAACCCGGGTTGTTCACCGGTGGGGGTTTCGGTTTCTGATAGAAAAAACAAACGTTTTGAAAACACAGATGGCATTCGTGTAACCAAACCCCACGTCCTCCCTGGAAAAAAGTTCAGCGAGAGATTTTTGAGCAGCACCAAATACACTTCCAGCCACAATGGCTGAGTGATCCCCCAAAGATGAAAGACCAAGGAGCTTTGGGTTCCCCTCCTCCTGTGCATCACCTCTTGGTGAAGCCTGGGCAGTCAGGCATTAAACAGTGTCCTGCCCACACTCTCTAAGTGATCACTTTCAAGTGTAATGCAGTAAACCCTCATATTATTTCCATATGTCCTGCTGCCGGAATATTTTGCAACTGATTCATGATGAAAAAAAAAAAAAAAAAAAAGGAAAAAAAAAAAAGAAAACAACTTATAAACACATTATCTTGACAGAAGCAATTCTTGAAGTAGTAGGACATACAATAGCAGAGACTTTGAAAGGAGGTCATTATTATCCAGTAGCGTTTTTCACTGGATGTCCATGAAATTTATGTCAATGAGTCACATCCTTTGAAAAGAAGGAATGAAAAGTGCCCTGTAGGACAGGTGAGCTCCTCCCCGAGCCTCCCCATGCCTATTTAGCTCTGGAGCTGTTTGCAGCCCTGCCAGCGAGGCTATTAGCTGAACAAGCCACAGATCCAGATGCCTCGGCTGGGAAAGAAAATGATCCAAGCTTCGCCATATGGGTTTTGCTACAGCTGCGGCCGCAAGTGCTGACTCCTTTGCTGGAGGACGCAGAGGGGCCAGATGGAAAGAAAAGCAACACTGCCGCTGCTGCCCACAAAACCGGACGGTTTGAGGCAGCCGGCGGTGAAATGGCACGCATATTTCTGACAGCACGTAACTGGACGTGGGAGCACGGCTCCGGGGGCGATGCGGCGCTTGGGAGCTTCCAGGGTTGTGTACAGGATGCAGAAGCCTCAAGGTCTGCCAGTGCAGGCCTCCCGGCTGTTCCCTGCTAGGCTGGAAGTTGTTTATTTGATGTGAGAACATCTCCATCCTCTGTGCTAGGACTGGTTTTGATGCTTAGGATTCTCCCTCTCTATTTTTTTTTGTACTTCAAAATAATGACCTGTTTCTGGGTGACCACCGTGAGACTCCATCGAAGGACCTGCTTTCTGGAGAAGGCTGAGCACAAGTTCCTCTGCAAACCCCTGCCTGGCAGAGATGCTCACCTCTCCAAAGCAAGACATTTCAAAAGTAACTGTTGTGCCCAGCCTGGAATTATCCACAAATAACAATCCTCGTATTACATATAATTTCAAAGCAGATCCAAAGCTGAATGGCAGAGCTGGCCTGGAAATCCTGTACACCCACCCGAGTAGGGTAGACAGGTCCCAGGAGTTCAGCCGTGTCCTGCAGATCTCTTGGCTTTCCATAAAGAAATTTTGTTACTGCTTAAACTGGCAAATCCATGAAAAGACCCCTCCTTTACATGTCCATGTATTTGCTTCCCATCTTATGGAACTGCATCCCTATCTTTAGACAGGGAGTCTGAAAGATAACTAAAGCTAGTGGGGAAATAATACTGCATTAACTGCTCAAAACATCTGAGAGGTGCTGGGCAGATTGTGTTTTCAGCGTGAAGGCTGGTTCAGCTCTTTGTGAATTTGTAGTAAATCAGCACTTCATAATAAGAACAAATGTTTCATTCTCACTTAAAAATTACTACAGTTAGAAGCTTGTAATGTGTAGTTTTCATGCAGGGGTTACATGACGGGAACTTAAATCTGTTCCATTTTCATCTGTAATTTAAAACGTGTCATTTTGATCGATGAATTAGTAAAGGAACCCAGGATAATTTTGAAACTACCAGCTTAGTAAAGTTGCCTGACCTTGCAAATAACCTTTTCAGTTTAGAAGCCTTTAATAGCTTAACTATTAGCTAATCTCCTGGGAAACTTTTTCCCTGGGCAAAACTAGTATGGAAATATAACACCAGTAATAAGGTTTCCATCTTTCTTCTATCTTGATCTTTTTAATTAATTGCCACTCAGTAAAAACATAGACTGGGAGGCAGGGGATAAAAATCTTTGCAAGGGGAGGGCAGGAGTTAACTGCAGACTGTTTCTATCCTTTACCTGCCCTTTTTGCATAGATTCATTAGGTGCTGAAAGATATTAGCAATTGTTAAGGTACAACTGCTGCTTGATTGTTTGACGCTTTTGGCTGAAAGCTGTGAAATCGATCATTTTGTTATGGAAAAAAGGCGCTCAGTGCCTACCAGGAGCAAACATTTTAAATACTTGAATGCTTTGTAGAGCACCTCAGCAGGCCCCTGGGAGCTTTTGTGTTACAGTCGTGTTGGTGCTGGTTCTTGGGTTTTGTGGGTTATTTCTGGAAAAGACTTTTCCAATGTGTGGGGTTTTTTTTTTGTTTGTTTGTTTGTTTGTTTGTTTGTTTTTCCTTTTTTTTCCTACGGGCAATCACGGACTGCAAATATTTGATTTGCCAGAAGAAAAGCAACGAACAAGGAGTTTAGAGGACAAGGTAAAAGTTCAATGCCCAGGTGACACATGGACTAGCATCTAGTCCAAAACAGGCCATAAGTTCCTGAGCATCCTATTTAGTTTATTTTCCCAAAGTTTCAATTTTACATATTTTACCCAGCCCTCTAAAAAAAGTACCACATTGAATTGTTGGGTGGTTCTCCCTATCTCCTTACCCAGTGGATGAAGGGGTTCGAGGTTATGATTTTGCTTTATGTGCATCTTTTTCCATGCTGTTTGGAGAAAAAAAAAATAAATAAATAAATAAATAAAATAAATAAAATAAAATAAAATAATAAAATAAAATAAAATAAAATAAAATAAAATAAAATAAAATAAAATAAAATAAAATAAAATAAAAATAAAATAAATTTTCTAGGCCAGCATGGTGATACCCTTGCATTGCTTTAGCTCTCTCTGCCAGCCCAGCTCCAGACTCAGCTAACACTCTTTCCAGTAAGGACAGGGGCACCACCGTGCCAAGCACCCAGGGAAGACTTGAATATCTGTTGTGCTTCAGGTGCACACATTAGTTTTGGGGAGGGCATAGCTTGAAGAGCTCAGTGAAATCTTCACTTACTTGCAAGCATCTTTTGCTGAGATAAAGATCATCAACCAGGCAGGTTGAAGGCACAAATTATGAAGCTACAGCATGTCTCCTGGATGAAGTCCTAGAGTTTTGGTGCAAGTGAACACAGCTGTGGCTCTTCCCTCAGCCTTATCTTTAACCCCTACAGTTTACTCTACAGGTCTGCGCTTCCAGCTTTTTGGCTACGTGAGTGAGGGTAGGCCCCTATCTCTGTGCCAGCGACACAACCAGCATCTGCTCTGGCACCGCGTGTCTACGCTATTGATCTCCAACCACCTTCTTCCCCGCTGAGACTGTGCAGACACGCACCGCATGTGATTGACTGCGCGCGGGGTCCTGCTCTGCGGGCTCTGTTTTTACTGAAAATGAGCTTCATCCTTGCTCGGCGACTGGTGTTGCCTGGTGACCTTTGAACCAGCACTTAAGCCCCTGGAGCACAGAAATTAGACTTCAGTCTGGAAGGACCTCTGCTCCAACAGATGACCTGTTATTTTATCTTGAGCAGCGGCAGCCGTGGAGGAGCGTTGGCACATGGCTTTTAGAGCTAATCACTCACTCGCTTTGAGGAGAGCAGGAATTTCACTCCCTCCCCCTTCAGCAACCTGGGACTTTATTGCATGTCTGGATCATTTCAGGCTGATCCTTCCTTAACTATTCCTGTTTATTTCTCCTGGGCCCAAACTTTTGATATAATGACTGGACCTCTCTAGCACACATGATGAAGGCTCTTCACCTGAGCTCATTGAAAATACACCCTTCCCTACTGCAGGTCCTGGTTATGTCCCTGAGCCCACCTGCAGTGTATTTCATCCTTCTGGGAACTCGCCACCAAGCCCTGAGTTTCCCATACCCAAATCCTCTCTTCTTGCCTCTTTCAGTATCATTCATCCTTGATGATGCACAGGAGGCAACCAAGGAAGAGGTGAAAAGAAGCAGGTCCCCCACACCCTTTCTCTCCTATCAAGCACTCAGGGAAAGCCTGAGGCTACAACTAAATTAGATAAGGGAATTTCAGTTTTTCATGCCCTGAGGCTCCTAAACTTTTAGTCCAATTCTGCTCTGCTTAACAAGGGCTCCCCTCCTAGATTGGAGTGTGAAGTAGCAAGACCCAAGCTTCTGTCTCAAGAAAATGACAAGTGCCATACCTAGCTGAGCTATCTTGACACTCAAACCAAGAGCTCTTGTGTTTGACACTATCCCAAAGCTAAGGTTGCCATTTCTCCCAGCAGGCCTACCAAGCCTCTTGAGGTTACAGAGCAGAATAAATGTGGTTTGTTGACTAGAAAGTGCTGCCAGTCCCTGGGAAGGGCTGAGGTTTTTTGGAGGGTGGTAGGAGAAAAAAAAAAAAAGAGGAAGAGAGGGAGAATGCTATGCGTAAATCCATTAGTAATGTGTCCAAACAACCCCCAAAACTTGTGCAAGAGCAATGGTGAAGAGGGTGAGCACCACAGCCTCTCCAGCCTCCCTCCCATCCCATTAGGGTCAAGCCAGGCTTAAGATCTCCCCAGGGCCACCAGGCACCACCTCCATCCATGAGGAGAGCTGGGCTTGTGGGTCAGGCCCTGAATTGGCTCCTCCAAGCAGGTGTTGATGGCAGGTTTACTCTCACCTACCCGATGCCAACACAGGGTCCCAGCTTGGAGGCTCCCAGAAGGCAGGATGAGACCCCATGGGAGGAGAAGCAGAGCCTGGCATGGCCTTTGGGTCTTGCTGGTTGTGTTGCTGGAGGCAGTTACTGTCAGAAACATGCTCAGAGATGTGCAACATCCCAGGAAACAGAAGAAATGAACCTGTTGTTTCTGTCCAGAGAGTCTCAAAGTGGTGTATTCTCAGCGTGTCAGCTGCCACCTCCTTCTTTCACCTTACCACACTTATGGCAAGCCTGCATCTCTGGTCTCCACAGGGTTATCCCTGGACTAATTTTACCAGACGAGTGCCTGGTCCAAACACTGGATGCACACACACAGCTTTCTTGGAGGTCTGTGAGCTAATGGGCCTCTACCTGTCCTCCCAGCAAGCTGCACGGCAACCCACAGAAAAGCCATTTAGCAAAAATGCCGGGCTGAAATGCTCCTGTCTGGTTGGGGACATTGCAACTGCAGAGGAGAATTCATGGCCTCTCGCAGAGGACTGCACTCAAAGTAAATAATATTATTTTAGAAAACAAAATTCATTTTGCAGCCTGAGACCAACTGCAACAGGATACAAGGTGGGGGGAAAAAAAAGTAAAAATGCCTCGCCCCCAGGGCTATTTATTATTTATACACCACCGTGCCTAGATAAACTCCCCCTTGAAAGAGGAGGACGAAAATAATTCTGCAATGTGGAAACAAACTGCCTATTTAAAGTGATTTTCTGCCTGAATGGCCTCATTATAAAAACAGCCTGCGTGCAATAACTTTTTACCTTTTTCTACGTTATCCAATGAACTGCTTTTTGTCACTCTCACCAGCTCAGCGCTTTCATGCAGCCACCTTGGTGGAAGGCCTCCACGGTTTCCTTAGAAACGTCTTCCTTCCTGGAGGTTGACCCACGGTGGTTGAGGCAGAGAAAGCCCTGGAGAGGCCCTGTTCAAACAGGAAAGAGCAGACAGTTTAATGGCCAGCTTTGCAGCTCTATTCCTCCACAGTTTACAGTAGTTGGGAGCTATAAAAAAAAAAAAAATCATAACGAATGTTGCTTTATTTTACTTTGTGTTGGTGTTTTTTGACAAAACGTGATGGGCCACGGGCCGAATCTGGAGCCCGTGGGCTGTTGTTGGGCCTTGGTGGGTTCGCTTGCCAAGTGCTGGTACCTGGGAGATGGCTTCCCGTGCTCAAATAGGCCTCGTCCTTTGGAAAAAAATGCGTGTTCTTGAGCTTATAGGTACATTAATAAGTCAGTAGCAGAAGGAAGCCAGTCTGAGAAGCCATAAATAATGTCACCTTTCAAGTGTTTAGCAGTGCTTGTATGTGAATGCTCCACGATGTCCATGCAGGAATGAAAGGCTGGTGTCCAGCAGTGCAGGAGGGAGCTGGGACAAGCACTTATCAGGGCTGGGTGTTATTTCATGAGGCTTATCCATAGCTCTGCTCGAGGCCTTACACTTGTTCACAGGCACAGGAATCCACCGCACACGCCGACTGCTGCCATTGGCATTGCTGGGGACGTTGCTGGTAAAGCTGGAGGAGGCTTCAGGGTGACCCCTGTGTGAAAGGAGCTGGTGAGAGCTTTCCTCCTTGTACCTCCTACAAAGTCATCCCCACCTGTCTAAGACACCAGTGAGAGCAGCCCATAAGACAGGTCACGCAGATATTTCATGTTTGCAGCTTTCTTGCATTTTCTTTTCACTTCCAGAGGATCTGGTGAAGTCCCAGAGTTACGCTAAGCCCTGGGCGCTTGACACTGCCTAAATACCGATGGCATCTTCCAAATGGGGACAGGCAGCTTGGGGTGACCTGGGACCACCTGCAAAAGCTGTGCAAAGCCAGCCTGAGGGGGGGGCTGGCTTTCCCCAGCAGGGGATGGTGCCCACCTGTGTGTACTCCTGAACTCCCTCATGTATGCAAAGGCTCTGTTATTTCTGTCTATAATGCACTGGCTCAGCTGCTAAATTTGTAAAGAAATTTTTGTTGCAAGGGCTGGGCAGAAGCAGAGAGGAGTGACATAAAGAGGTTCAAAAGGGAGGACTGTAATTAGCTACAACAAAAGTAAATTGCTCAAGAGCATTTCTCTTAATGTTTTTAGTAGCAAACATCATGGAGAGCAGGTTTCTCAGGCCAAACAGGAAGGAAAACAAACAAACAACTACAGGCAGCTAATTCACAGGCTTTTAGAAGTCAGGTTATCAACCAGGGACCCAGAGACAGGAACTGATGAAGCACAAAACTCCAGGGAAACAGATGAGGTTTCCAAAGAACACAAACACATAAAACCCTAAGATGTACATTTATAAATAAATCCAGGAAAGAGCAGGACACCTGATTCCCAGGCTGAGATTTACAAGCTGGAAGAAGAGCCTTCAGACTCTTGATTCACACAGTTAAAATCTGGAAGTGTTTGAGGAGGTAACTTGGATATGTGCACATTGTTGATAAGGCAAATAATGTTAGTGAGAGTGACTGCTGCTGGCCAGGGTGTGACAGCAGAAGAGGAGGGCAAAGAAAAGCTGAAGAATATATAGAAATGTGGAGGCCAAGCATTAGAAAACTCCGCTGGACAGTGATAGCTATGGAAGAATGTCCCACAGCGCTGCCCACAATCTTTAGGGCAGAAACACCACTATTAAATCAAATCAGAAACCACAAGGCTCTTGAGAGATGCTGAGCTGTGCTTTGGGATGACCTGCCATTAGCTCCCATTCCTTTCCAAGCACTTCCCAACCTCCAGACCGTTTGTATTTTCAGTGACATAGTAATGGATAGGGTTTAATACCTACAGGCAAGAGTTAAATGCCCTCTTGGCGATGTGTAAATTAGTGAGTGGACAGTTGCTCCAGAGAGAAATGGCAAACAAATATTTATTAGTTGTTTCAAAGAACCACAGCCATAAAACTCTGTCTTTTGACTGCAGAAGTGTTTGTGTTTTTACTGAAACCAATGCTAAAGGTGATGGTTTTACTCCTGACTGAGGTAACATGTATAACTCTGATTTACTGCCTTCATCTAATAAGAAAAAAAGAAAAAAAGAAAAAAAAAAATAAACAGAATGTGTTTTATTTTGCTCTGCTTTTGCAGTATACAAGGAAGATGCCAAAAAGGAAATTAAATACCATTTTATTTGAGCAAAATTATTGTTGATTTCACTAAAATATCAGATTTTGTGACCTATTTGCTTTGTATCAAAGTAATCACTGACTTCCTGGGCAAAGAGCTTTAGCTAAGTGATGGTGTAGTGGGACAAATGGTGTAGCCAGGAAGTTAACAGGGGCAGCATGAGCGTTGGACAGTGTTACAGGAGTTAATAATGGATCCAGTACTGCTTAACAACTCCATTAACAACCTGGAGGTAATGGGCATAAATTGCAATACAGAAAATTACACTTGCTGAAACACGGTATTTTTTTTTCCATTTGGAAAAAAAAAATAAATAAATAAAAACTTTTTTAAAGTGAGGATGGATGGATGGACACTGGACCAGGTTGCCTAAAGAGGTTGTGGGTTCTCCATTGCCTATCTTCAAAGCTATCTAAGGCATCATCTAAACTAAAAAACCAAACACCCTGTAGTTAGTCACATAATTACCCAGCATAATATTTGTAAATATTGAGTGGACATAAGTCTTTAGGTTCAGTGGGGACCTCAAGTAAGGTAAAACACTGTCCAGCAGGAATGAGGTCATTGGAATATAAGGATACAGACAAATTCTTGCAGCCCCATATAGATATCTTAAACATATGTTTATGCTTATGTAATATAACGTGACATACATGAAACACATTTACATATCCTAAATTACAGTGACTTCTAATAAGATCCATGCTAGACAATGAGCGTTGGCATTAGGTGAATAATTCAGTGTTAACTTTTTCCTTGCATTTTACAGTGTCACTAGAACCTACCGTGATTTGCTCAAGGTTAACTTACAGAAAGAGATGTTTCTAAACCCATATATAGGTTTTTAGATGGGAGGTTAGACATAGAGGCACCAGACACTGATGAGGGATAAGGAAATGATGGAAGCTGTCATTCAGCAAGGAACCTGGGTATGTGCCATGGCTGACACTTCTGAGTTTACTCCAACCTACCTGCAATAAGTGGCTGAATGGTCCGAGCACACACAATGAGGAGTAGAATATGTACAAAGTGTGCTGTTTTCTCACTCCCACCCAGAAACAACAGTAACTTCTTGATCTGAGGGCTGTGGTTTAGTATGAATTTACAGAAGATCAAGCCATGTACACTTCAGTGCAGCCTTTGAAATAACTCGTGTTTCAGTGACCCCAGCATCCTGAGTCAACTTAGTTAAGGAAATATGCACCGAGAGGTCATAAAAGAGGCCAGGCCCTCTGCAGCTCTGTAGAGACACACCAGTGCCTGGAGACAGCCATCCTTCAGGCTCTGGTTTCATACAATTTCTCTCTTATCTCCATGGATAGAACAGCCATACTAAAACTGGCACTCTTTTACATAGATGATCTCTAAATACTTGGCTTGGGGACTGAAACAAAACAAGGAGAATATCCTGATGATTCAGAATGCAAAAGAAAGTTCAGTGATGATTACCCTCAGCAAGAACGTCCCTGATCTCCAGGGAAACTGGTTTTGAGCTTGAGATGGGGAAAAAAAAACCATAGCCGCTAGTCTGTTTACAGTGAGGGAACTCATTCTTTTCTGTATGCATGTGTGAGTAGCGGCTGAAGTATTTCATTGCTCTGTGCTTGCTAATTCACCTTTCAGCTGAGACCATGACAAAAAAATGCCATCCCCAAAGGAAAATGTCATTTATTTCTGGGAAGACATGAATTAACGCAAATTAAAATCCTATTTGCATAATTCACTTGGAATTCTAGTTGAAATCCTTTTGCAATCTTAATTACACCATTTGTTTCTCATTTAATTGCAATTGCTCAATGCTCCTGAATCAAGTTAAAAAGGAAGAGCCGCTGTGTGACTTCTCCATGAGACACCTAAACCCGGACGGTTCCTTCCTGGGCAGCTCTGAGCGTGTGTCATCAGGCAGCTGGCCCCAGCCTCTCCGGGCAATGCATTCCCCTTTCTCCCTTAGGACACGTGAGCATGAAATCCTAAATACCCCTGTGCCTCCCCAGAAGCCAAGTCACCCAGGTGCCTTCAAGGGAAATTTTACAAAATGAGAAGGGGGGGAAGAAAAATAACTCCAGGATGAATGTAGATGAGCTGTTATTAGTAACGAAAATCCTTTTATTAACCCCTCCCAGTCAGCTTTGGTTCTGCTGGGGAGGGGGAAAGTTGTAAAGATAACTGCAATACATTGAAGGGACTAACTCTGTGTGCAACAAGCCATGACACATAAGATAAATCCCTAGGGACTCTCTGCCTGTTTACAGTACTTCCAGATAAAACAACCGGGCTGCCACCATGGGGAGACTCCCCTTTTCCAGGAGTGCCAAATCTGGAGCTGAGCAACTCAATTTGTGCCCTGACAGTCAGATCAGCTTTACACGGCCGCTAATCCCCCCAGATTACTTTCCTCCGTGAAGACTACCACTTCATTAGTACAGAAGGTGAATTTTGTAGCAGCACCAAGGTTCGTTCTCATATGTTATCTTTGCCTAGAGAATAGGACTTTTGACATAAACCTGGAAGGTAGTTCAAAGCCTAACAGCATAAACACACATCCATTTTTTGTACTTTAGGAATAGGTAATGTAAGAGTTGAAAGGTGAAGGTTATGGCAGTTCGTGTTTATTTCACCAAGAGCCAAGAGATGGGAAACATCTGGCACTTACACACCATGCAAGTCTTAAAAACAAAGAGACCTAGACTTTAGTCCGGCTGAGCAAGCACTAGGATAAAAGCTAATGACAGGCTGCTTATTTAAAGGGATCATAATACAGAACAGCCATGTAGGGAACCGGGGAGGATTGGGAAGAGGGAAAATGAGGGTAG